TTTACAAAATGTAAAAGGAGAATTTTCGTTTTTCCTTTGGGCCACCCCACCTCGGTGGATAGGGCCCGGGTGGTTGAAAGAAAGAAAGAAGAATAGTACATGTATGTACATACTGTGTATAATTTAGTTTGACAACACCACCACCAGACAGCAGTGTCAATCAAAACAATGGTCACCAGTGCACATGTGCTTACAGAGTTACCCTCGCGGTGCAAGGAATTCTCATGATTTCCTTATGTTTTGTGCAGTTAATTCACCAGATTTCTTTCTTCTGACCATGGGTCCCAAGAAAGCAAGTGCAATGGACAGTGCTGAGAAGAAAAAGAGGATGATTTGCATGGAATTAAAGCAAGAAATGATTAATAAGCACAAACTAGGTACGAGGGTTGAGGACTTAGCGAGTTGAGTACAAGCGTAGCCCCTCTACTATATGTACAATACTAAAGCAAAAGGAGTCCATAAAGGCTATAACGCTAGCAAAGGGGATTACAGTAATTTCTAAGCAGTGGACCTTTGTCAATGATAAGATGGAAAAGCTGCTGCTGACATGGTTGACGGAGAAACAACTCACAGGAGATACGTAGTGTAGTGAGATAAACATAAAAAATTGTACGTAACAGTTCTTAATATTATTATTATTATAATCAAGGGGGAAGCGCTAAACCCGTAGGATTATACAGCGCCTGGGGGGGGAGGTATTCAGGCTTAATTTGGGGAACTGGACCACAGATCCAATTCCCTAAATCAAGAGCCCCTCACCACCATCAAGGAGCCTTCCTTGAGGGGCGGTTCTTAAGAAAAGTGTGAACTCCTGACAGGAATATGCCGCTCTGCATTTCTTCTCCAAGGTATGTAAATGCCGTATGTACACCAGATCTAATTCAGTTAGCCTCACAAATTCCCGTTTTCTCTTATAACACCACTGACGTTTTTCATAGCAAGAATGCGCGACCACTCCCAACCACAATCCTCCTCCCTCCGTAGTCCATGTAATGACATATTTTATTCATTATAGAGTGTATATCAGGTTTCTATGTTATTTATATTGTTTATTATATCATATTAGATGAATTGTGACAGATAAATAAGCCGTAGAGTTGATATTAGGGTTATTCTGTCATGCCTCCCGAGAGCAGGAATTCAGCTGGAACGAATTAATTGCATTTCAATTAATTTAAATGAGGAAAATTGACCCAGCATAACGAACAAATCAGGATACGAACAAGTCCATGGAACGGATTAAATTCGTAACCCAAGGTTCACTGTATTTTACTGCACCTAGTGATTTGTGCTGAATAGATGTTAGTCCTCTGAACACTATTTTTTTTTTTTTTTGCTGTTTTTAACTAAATGATGTGGTGCAGTACCCGAAAAATTACATCTAAATAAGATGGTGAAATATCTGGGGAGAAAATTGAAGCACGTTGTCATTATCATTATGCAGGAAGTGAAGGCATAGGTAATCCCCTCAACAAGTTTCCAGCCCAGCCCTTACTACACAAGTATCTTCAGTGAAAGGCATACAATACTGACTAGATGATGAATAAGAGAAAAGCAAAGACCACAAATAGTGGTATGGTTGACAAACAGGCAACAGAGTGTCTGCATAAATGGGGAGAAATCAGAGTGGGGACATGTGACAAGCAGTGTTCTTACTAAATTATTGTTCTTGTTTATTTCCTCTTATCTCCATGGGTAAGTGGAACAAAATTTTTCCTCCATAAACCATGCGTGTCATAAGATGTGACTAAAATGCACAGGAGCAAGGGGCTAGTAACCCCTTCTCCTGTATACATTACTAAAGCAAAAAAGAGAAACTTTTGTTTTTCTTTTTGGGCCACCCTGCTTTGATGGGATACGGCCAGTCTGTTGAAAGAAGAAATGCAAAGTTCTAAGCCTGTGGAAAAGAGAATAACCATGGCACTTATAAACTTAATAATATAGATCTCGATCACTCCGAATGCGAAACAAATTTAGGAGTCCTGGTTAGCAATAAACTAAGGCCAGGACAATAATGCATAAGTGTTCACAATAATGCTAATAGAATTCCTGCCTTCATATCAAGAAATAAAAAATAACAGGAGACCTTGGTTATATTTCAACTCTACATATCACTGTAAAAATCTCATTATATTATGCTGTGCAGTTCTGGTCACAGGATTACAGAATGGACAGAATGCAAAGAATGACAAAGGTGATCCCAAAGTATCAGAAATCTTTCCTATGAGAATAGATTGAGGGCACTAAAAACTGCACTCTCCCAGAAAGGCATAGAATTAGGGAAGGTTATGATTGAGGTATATACAGTGGACCCCTGGTTAACGATATTTTTTCAATCCAGAAGTATGTTCAGGTGCCAGTACTGACCGAATTTGTTCCCATAAGGAATATTGTGAAGTAGATTAGTCCATTTCAGACCCCCAAACATACACGTAACAAACGCACTTACATAAATACACTTACATAATTGGTCGCATTCAGAGGTGATCGTTATGCGGGGGTCCACTGTATATATAAAAGGCAGGAATAAATAAAGGGGATATAAATAACATGCTAAAAATGTCTAACCAAGACAGGACTTACAGCAATGGGTTGAAGATGAAAAAATTAGATTTACAAAGGATACAGGAAAGCACTGGTTTGGTTAATAGAGTTATGGATAAGTGGAACAAACTCCCGAGATGAACCGAATCAAAAACCTTGGGTAACTTTAAAAATTAGTTAGATAAGTACATTAGTTCTCCATGGGGAAGTGGAACAGAATTCTTCCTCTGTAAGCCATGTGTGTTGTAAGAGGCAACTAAATGCCGAGAGCAAGGGGCTAGTAACCCCTTCTCCTGTATATATTACTAAATGTAAAAGGAGAAGCTTTCGTTTTTTCCTTTTGGCCACCCCGTCTCGGTGGGATATGGCCGGTGTGTTGAAAGAAAAAGTACATTAGTGGGAGTGGGCAATGTGACTTGAATTTGCCTAGATTGGGCCAGTTTCTTACGTTCTTATCTGAAAATCTATTCCCAAATATCATGTAGGTCTTATCAATGTTAAGAGTTAGTTTATTGATAGTCATCCAGGTAGATATCTTTATGAACCCCAAATTAACAGCATTATTGAGAGAATTCAAATTTGGGTGAGAGATGACAAAAGTTGTGTCATTTGCAAACAAAACAGGTCTAAGTTATTGAGATGAATTTGGAAGATCACTGATGTATACAAGGAAAAGCAGAGGGGTGAGAATGCTGCCTTGGGTACCTCCTATGTTGATAGATTGTATTGACAATCTTATGCCCTTCATGGAGACATACTGGTGTCTGTTAAGATAGGACCTTAGGTATTTAAGTGCATAACCTCTGATACCACAATATTCTAGTTTAAGATGCAGGATGCTGTGGTCTACTGTACTGAAAGCTTTCCTAAGGCCTACAGTGCCACTTCTGCTTACCAAAAATGGCTCACTAGATACTCAGATCAGCTGCCAGAGCTTCATTAAAGTGTTTAGCAAGCTCGCATCTCACCCATTTAAAGTTTGAGAATAGGATGAGGACGTTTCATCCCATGAATATTCATTATTCTCAAATCCATCTAATCTCCTTAAACCCATTTTATTTGCAGATGACACTACTTATGTCTTCTCTCACCCAAACCCAACAATACAAACAGACATTGTAAATGCCGAACTGATAAAAATATCTACTTGGATGACTACCAACAAACTTACTTTCAAAACAGAAAAAAACCTACTTCACGCTATTTGGAAATAGAGCTTCAAAAGTACAGCTACACATACTGATAAATGGGTTTCACCCATTTCTAGACAGAGGACAAATTTCTAGGTCTCCACCTTCACTGCAGTTTCAAATTTCAGACACACATACAGCAAATTTCCAAGAAACTCTCCAAAACAGTAGGCATCCTTTCAAAGATACTATGTACCCCAATCAGCTCTTCTAGTTCTGTACCACCTCTCATTTACCCTTACCTCACCTATGGTATTGGTGCATGGGGCTCAACCACAGCAAATCACCTTAAACCTTTAATAACCCAACAAAAAGCTGAAGTGCAGTTGATTACTAACTCCTGCATTAGACAACACACTCCACCACCTTTTCAAGAGTCTTAACTTGCTTAATATACAAAACATCCACACTTATTATTGTGTCTACTACATACACAAAACAGTATACTCAAATATAATCCCTCCTCTCAACTCCTCCTTGATAACTATAACAGAACACAGCCATAATACGAGACACAAATCACTCTTTGATATACCTCATGTCCATCTCTCCCTATGCAAAAATGCTATGCACATAAAGGGCCCAAAGATCTGGAATTCACTTCCAGAACAAACTAAAGGACCCGTCTGCAAATCACTTTAAGGCCCTACTAAGAAATCACCTCATCACCCAAAATTAACCAGACAAACCGTACCTAATAACTACCAGTTACTCAAAAGCTACTCATATTGTGCTGAGGACTGCCCAACCACTTACTCACTACTTCAAAATTAGGATGTTTAAATTTCATTGTTTTAAATAGTACTAAATTGTAATACATCATATTGTAAATTGTTTTAAATTGTTCTATTGTAATATTGAAATCTTTAAAAACTAACTCAATGTGTGAATTATTCTCTACTAGATTTATCGAAGCCATATAGCATTACCTATAGAATATTAAATTCTTTTGTAACTTATCTAATGACCATTATGAACTATCGTTGCCTTCCTAATCTTAAGTTAGTTTTTAAGTTTGCCCGAAATACTCTGCAGACAAAGGGGCTTTTGGCATTTACACCCAACTATTATATTCCTCTGTCAACCATGTATCATGTCAAAAATAAACTTCTTATTCTTAAGTAAGTCAAGCATTTTTATAATTTCATTTTTTCTTTTTTTTCCTAAAACAAAACTGGCATGGTTGAGTATATTGAGTGATACTAGGAAAGAGTATAGTCTCTTTTTAGATTAACTTTTCAAAGATTTTGGGCAACAATGACAAGTTAGTTATAAGTCTTAGTTATTTATGTTAGTTCGATCTCTGCCTTTATGCGCTGGGTAACATTTTCTATCTTAAGCATTATCAGAAATGTGTTAGTTTCTAATGATCTGTTGAACAATATCGCAATGAAGGGTGACAACACAAAACCGCTCTTCTGAACAAAGTGATAGTCATAACCCAAGTTTCCTGGTATGTTTTTCAGTGAATGTGTTATCAAGAAACCTCAGTAGAGTTAATTAAAACAGTCAGTAGGGTTAGTTAGTCAAAATCTCTAATATTTTACTCACAGGTGATCTGTGTGTCTTATTCATCACCTTGCTGCACAAATCATAGGTTATATGATTCAGGTTCAACAGTCATTTTTAGAATATTGGACTCCAACTGTAGCTCACAAAATTTTTTTTATCATACACAGCATAGTACTCCCACACTCACTGTTCTACTCTTATCCTCTGTACTCTACATTCACTCAGCATCTTCTTCACACTCTCATCTCGCTGAATATAGCTTCCAAAAACACAATGAGCAAAAGAAATCTTTAGTCATGTCCGCTCAGTACTGTATACAGGCAGGCCTTTCACTAATACAGCAGTTTTCAATTATACCCATTCTTCATTTATTCAGACTTGCTAAAATAAATATATTCACCACTCACTACAAGCCAAGGACAAAAATATTGTAAGGTGAGGAATGTACCTGGCTCTACTGCTCACTTAATATATGAGAGTGTAAACATGTTTAAAGGCTATGTTTCACTTTACAGCAATAGCCCAGAACCTAACCTGCTGTATAAGTAGGGACTGCCTATAATAGAATCTTTCATTCATATACAGTACTTCCCATTACCCACTCTTCTATCCCGTCTCCAGTCTCTCTCTGGACCTCATCTTACATTATCATCATTATTTCTTTTCTAACACCCTGGCCATCTGCCACCAAGGCAGGGTGACTTAAAAAGAAACACTTTCACCATCATTCACACTATCACTGGCTTGCCAGAGGCACACAGATACAAAAGTTTAGATGTCACTCTAAACAGCAAATATCTCAAACCCCCTCCTTTATAGGGCAAGCATGGTATTTCCCACCTCCAGTTTCCCTGAATCTCTTCACAAAATATTACCTTGCTATAACTCCAACAGTTCGTCAAATCCTAAAAACCATTTGTCTCTGCTCACTCCTATTTAACCCTTTGAGGGTTTCGGCCGTACTAGTACGGCTTACGACCCAGGGTTTTTGACGTACTAGTACGCCTAAATTCTAGCACCCTCAAATCTAGTGGGAGAAAGCTGGTAGGCCTACATATGAAAGAATGGGTCTATGTGGTCAGCGAGCACAGTATAAAAAAAATCCTGCAGCACACAGTGCATAATGAGAAAAAAAAAAAACTTTGTTTTTTTGGAATAAAACAGCGACTTTGCACTGTATTTTCGTATGGTATTTATTGTTGTATTCTAGTTTTCTTGGTCTCATTTTATAGAATGAAAGACATATTACAGAAATTGAGATGATTTTGACTGGTTTTACAATGAAAAGTACCTTGAAATTGAGCTCAAAGTAGCAGAAAATTTTTCAATTTTCCCCAAAAGTTCAAAAGAAAAAACAAATCATGCCAAGCGTCCAATACACATCAACTGGTGAGTCTAATATTCTTTCACAAGTGCGCCAATATTATTTATACCATTTTTTACATTAATGCAGTAGTCTGCATAACAGTAAATCTTCTTTTTTTTGTGAGAAAGAAAATTCAAAGTAGAAAGCAAAAAAATTTGTAAGAGGGGCCTTGAGACGTGACTAATGAACAAGGAAATGTCATTTTAGTGCAGGAATGTTTTCTTGTTTTTTCTGGACCCTATTCGGAAATTGGCATCTTTTGAAATTTGTGTGAAATTGGCAAAATTGCTAAATTCTGACCACGTATGGATAGTTAAATTGGTAAATGGGTGGTTTCTTGCACTCATTTGATAGAAAAAATGGAGTTCTAGCGAAATAGTTTTTGTCGACTAGTACAATGGAATTGGCCGAAAATGGGCTCAATTGGGCAAAATCGCAGATGCGTAAACATCTCCGAGACCTCCTAACTTCGAAAGAGCATAATTCCATAAGTTTTCCATCAAATTTCATACTTTTGGTGCCCATTATGATCGGGAAAAGATTCTCTTATCTTTTCATAAGAAATTTTTTTTTTTTTTTTTTAAATTTGGCAGACCCTGAGAACGAGTCTCGGAGAGGGCCTGTCGACCCTCAAAGGGTTAACATGCTCACATGTGCCTGCTGTATGTCCAAGCCCATTGCACACAAACCTTTACCATCTCCCTCCATCCTTTCCTAGAATGACCCCTACCCTCCCTTCCCTCCACTACAGATTTATACACCCTCTGAGTCATCTATTTTGCTCCATCCTCTCTAAATGATTAACCCCTCCTCAGCCCTCTGAATAATACTTTTTAGTAACCCCAAATACTCTTCCTAATTCCCACACTACGAGTTCTCTGCATAATACTTGCGCCACACATTGCCTTTAGACACGACATCTCCACTGCTTTCAGCCTCATTCTCACTTCAACATTCACAACCCATGCTTCACACCCATATAAGAGTATTGGTATCACTATACTCTCATAGATAAAAAATATCATAAAAAAAATCATATAATGACATTCTTGAAAACTTACATGGCCACCCATGGATATTCCAGTAATTCCCAGTGGTCCAAAGCCCATGCGTTCAAGCCAGTGAAATATAGCCAGGGACTCCAAAATTAAGCAGCCACCCATCACAAACAAATCAGAAACATTGTGGAGACTTGAGCGACTGTAATGCAAAATGTATCATTATTCTCAAAGCTATTGTGAGATTATGAAAACACACATTATGCATATACCAATAGCATTAATAATTTAAAAAAATACAGTAGATTGTTGAATATCTGGTACCATCAGGGGCATTTCCAAAGGGTTTTAAAAAACAAAAAATAATCACATTAGTTTTATAGGCCCTATAGCTTGCATATTCCTTTCCCATATTAACTGCTCAGGTGTTTTGTACAAAAGCAATCAATGATAATGTTAAATGCAGAATGAGTGACTGAAGATAACTCATGATCTACTGTAATAAAAAAAATAACAATAAAAGTACGTAATAAATTATTTGCACGAAGAAGGTAGAGTACAGTACAATACGTGGGTAAGTACTGTACGTATATCTCATGAAGGCAGAAGGTACATATATGTACTATGTGTAATAATAACATCGACCATATAGGTGAAAGGACACCAGTGCACCCACTTAGGACATTTTCATTGGATGTATTTCAGTCCTTGGAACTTGGTCATTCCTTTAGAATGACCAAGATTCCAGGACCAAAACCTATCCATTAAAGATATCCTAAGTGTATGTATGTCTCTTTCATTGATGTATATCTTAATAAAACATGGGTGCTACCAATCATACCCAGAATAGGGAAAGCTACTGAAACCAGTTTTCATAGTGAAAAAAAAATGAATGGTTCAAACTGGGATCCCAGATCCATGATTTGCTCTATTTACCATTATTAAGGTACACTAGTAACATGCATCAGAATCTCTAACACTTCTCTACTACCAATTACAAATCCACAATTTTGTGGGGTCTTGTAAGATTGAACCAAGACTTCACTACTGGAAAACATGAACACTACCAGTAACACCATAAGCTGGAAAATATACTGAAGCTGCTAGATTAATGGTACTATAGAGGAATACCACTGCTTGGCTGTTTTAGCAGAAAAACTAGTTTCAATACACAAATAACCCGCACATAGGAGAGAGGAGCTTGCGACATTGTTTCGCCCCGACTTGGACCATTACAAAGTGACTCTGTAAATGATTAAGTTGGACCGAAACATCGTCGTAAGCTCCTCTCCCCTATGTGAGGGTTATTTGTGTATTTTTCCAGTCATGGTATTGTGCCTTTTTGTTATTTAGTTTCAATACCTTTACTTGTTCATGTAATTTGTTGTGTCTTCCAGACAGAAGGTTCAACCCTGTATGGCTAACAATTTTCCCACTATAAAACTTGTTTAATGGTTCTTTATGTTTATATTAATAGGAACTTCCCATTTTGCTTAAAATTTCAATGCAGGGTATTCCAGTGCTTGTATATTAAATTATTAAATAGACATGTTTAACAAATAAATTTCAAATACATAAATTTTCTAAGGCAAATAAGCAGAGCGAACGAACGAACAAGCGAACATAGATCTACGTTTGGATAGTTTAAGGGTTAAAATATATTTCAAGAAACTGTGAAACCAAGTGAGTACAGTAGGACCCCCGTATCCACAGGTTCAGTTACCGCAGTTTCAGTTATCTACGGTTTACTGTGGAAAATAACCCTTAACCCTTTCACTGTTGAGATCCATGCTCGCAAACTTGCTCTCAGTGTTGAAGAATTTTCAGAAAAAAAAGAAAAAATTATTTTTTCTTATGAAAAGATAATCTTTTCCCGATGGTCATGAAACCAAAAGTAGGAAATTTGATGGAAAATTTACGGAATTACGCTCTCGCAAAGTTTGCGGTCTTGGCGATATTTATGCATGGGCGATTTAACTCACTTTGAACCCTATTTTTGGCCTTTTCCCACTGTTCCAGTTGAAAAAACTCATAGCTATTTTGCTGAACCCCTTTTGTTCTTCAATTTGAGACAAAAAATAACCTTTTACCTATTTCAACACCCAATAAAGTGTCAAAATTGGTAATTTGGCCTTTTTATACAAAATTAAAGGGAAGGCCAATTTAAAAATAGGGTCCAAAATTAAAAATGAAAACATTCCTAGCCTAAAAAACATTTTCTCTGTTATTGTAATGTCTCCACCCCCTTTTATTATGTTTGCTTTTATATTAAATTTTTATTCACCAGAAAGAACATTTACTGTTATGCAAACTCTGCTTATTAAAAAAAATGGTATAAAAAATTTTAGACATTTGTGAAAGCATATCAGCCCCAATCAGCTGACCTGTATTGGACGTGACTTTGTTTTGTTTACTGTTGAAATCGGCAAAAATCGAAAATTTCTGCACTTTGTCTCAATTTAAAGGTATTTTATTCTGTAAACCATTAATATTTCTTTATGTTGTAATTTTCATTCCATTTTTATCAAAGAGAAAGAAAATGAGAATGCAAACCTAAAACCATTAAAATAACTGCAAATTCACTGTTTTAAAAACCAAAAAAAAACGGTCGAGTTTTTTTTCATTATGCATGCGTGCTGCAGAATTTTTAAAATTTGTGCACAGGGCCACTCGACCCATTCTTTTCACATGTTAGGCCCGGCTATCTCTCGCAAGATTAAAGCCACTAGAATTCTGGCGTAGTATTACGGGCCCGACCTGGCTTGCAAGCCAGTATAACACATTTTTATGGGACTGCAGTAAAGGGGTTTAATTTTGCTTAATATGCACCAAAGCAAAAAAGTAGTGCTTCTCTAGGCTTCTTCAAGCCTGAGAGATGCCGTAATACTTCCCCACCCAATTCCGACTATTGTGCATAATACAGGGGACCCCCCTTTACGACAGCTCCCAATGCATAAATTTGAAGTTATTTATGTAGTGCGTTTGTTACGTGTATGTTTGGGGGTCTGAAAAGGACTAATCTGATTCACAATATTCCTTATGGAACCAAATCTTTCCCAGAATGGCACCTAACAATTTCTTTTAATGAAAAACATCGTAAGCCGGGGCCACTGTATATCAATAACCCTTTGACTGTCGCAACCCCCAATCCTAGGTGTCTCCTGGTGTCGCAAAATTTAAAAAAAAAAAAAAAATTTTTTTTCTTATGAAATGATAGAGAACTTTTCCGATTGAAATTTGACACCAAAAAAAGAAATTTGATGGAAAACTGAGGGAAAATTATGTCTCCGCGAAGTTAGCGACCTCGACGCTGTTTACAAACGGTTTTTTTTCGCCACTTGCCCTATTTTGGCTAATTCCATTATTTTAATCGCCCAAACTCAAAGCTATTTTTTAGAACTTTATTTTTTATCGACTGAGTACAAGAAACTGCCCATTTACTGATTTCAACTACCTAATAATTGTGGTCGAAATTTGCAATTTTGGGCCAATTTCACGAAAACTAAAAAATATGACAATTTCAAATAAGGTCCAGAATGAACAATGCAGACATCCCAGGCTCTAAAAAAAACGTTTTTCTTTTTTTCATCAGTCACGTCTCCAGGCCCCTATGATATTACTCTTGCTTTCTATTTTGAATTTTATTCAAAAAAAAATATTAGACTTACTATTATGCCAGACTACTGCATGCTGTAATAACTGTATAAATAACATCAACCCATTCATGACTGCATATTAGAATGGCTAGTTGGACATTTATTGGACAATGGCATCATTTGTTTACTTTTGAACATTGGCAAAAATCAAACATTTCCCCTACTTTGAGCTCCATTTCTAGGTTCTTTTATAGTAAAATCAATCAAAAACATCTCATTTCTGTAATATGTTTTCCACTCTATCAAATGAGACCAAGAAAACGAGAATACAACCATAAATACTATACGAAAATAGACCACAAAGTCGGCATTTTAATTAAAAAAACGGTCGGAGTTTTTTTTTTCTCATTATGCACTGCGTGCTCCAGGATTTTTTTATATGGTGCACACTGACCACACAGACCCATTCTCTCACGTGTGGGCCTACCAGCTTTCTCTCTTGATTTGAAGCCGCTAGAATTATGAGTATATATACGTCAAACACGGCACCTCATAAAACGTATATATACGGCCGCGACAGTCAAAGGGTTAAACTTCATCACAGGTATGTATGTACACGAAAAACAACTTATATACATGTATATGTAGTGCACTATGTACTATCCGCAGTTTCAGTATCTGCGTAGGTCTTGGAATGTATCCCCCCGTGGAAACGGGGGACTACTGTACATTGTTATTGTAAAAACTCAAAGGAAAACTTAATATTATTGCCAATTTCCCTTTGAAGGCAACAAAATGACATTATTCAATAATACTCAAATATTGTATATGGAAATATGGGATATTGGCAGTTTGGAGGGATATGTTGTGCATCTTTATAACGTATATGCTTCTAAACTGTTGTATTCTGAGCACCTTCTGCAAAAACAGTGATAATGTGTGAGTGTGGTGAAAGTGTTGAATGATGAAAGTATTTTCTTTTTGGGGATTTTCTTTCTTTTTTTGGGTCACCCTGCCTCGGTGGGAGACGGCGACTTGTTGGAAAAAAAAAAAAAAAACTCTAGGACACAAAGCAATCTTTAAATTACAGGAAAATACGCACTGTACAGCAAGTCCTCACTTAACGTCATTTCATTCACATCATTTTGTCATAACGTTGATAAGAAACGAAAATTGATGCCCGGCTGGGGTCACTGTCTGCTGGAATTTGCACATTTGTTTATGAACTGCATGGTTGGAGGTGCATTTATTCCTGATTTAACCCTGTTGCAATGAGTGCTAAAGGTGTACTGTGCACCCCTAATGATTATACCAATTAGCTTATGGTAAAACTGGTTTCATTATACGTACATAGTTTCACTTAATGTCGCAGTTTCCAAGAACCACTTGATGACATTAAGTGAGGACTTACTTTATCTAGAAACTTACAGCTGATCCTTAGGTTTCCGACAACCATAAAAGGGATTCTCGAGGATGGCTGATGCAATTCCTGATTCGTCTAAAAGTGGTTTAAAACCATTAGCATTTTTCTTCTCCAAAACCCCTGAAAGAAAAAAGATCACTATATAAATCCCTAATGTGACATTTATGTAGCTGAATTGAAAACTAATAACAATGAAATGTTTAATTAGTGAGACTGCAGTGATTAATACTACAATGTTTATCTATCCTCAGTATGATAATACAGTACAGGTCTCCCTCGCTTCATGTGGATTTGTTTTACGCAAATTTTCTAAATATGTTATATCATTAATTTAGTATATGCAAAAATTGGTCACCATTGTGATCAGTACAGTTTGCAAAGCACATTCACAATTCTTATTATGTGTAATTAAGTGTTTATGGCCTGACTGAGTTGCCAAGGGCCTAAAACATGTACACAGCATAAAATAAGGGACACTTGGTAACAGCACCTTGAAAAGAATCAGAAAGAAAAAATGAGACTTCACAAAAATCAGCTTACATGATCTCCAGTGCCTGCCAAGTGCAAGCAGGTAGGCTTCAGGTGAGTGCGCCATACTTTTGGGAACACTAACTGAAAAGCAGCTTTCTCTGACTCTTTAGGCAGAAGACCTGGCAAGTGGTCCACAAATGGGACATAAACTTGCTTCCCAAATAATATGGTCCCCATTATCAACCTCCTGTTTGAAAAAAAAAATCAAATTATAGATGTATCAAAAGCATAAAATTTACCACTAACATACGAAGACAATCCTGCTTCAGTTCATAAACCTGAGAAATATATGCAAAATACTCACAGAAACGACAAGTGTATAAGACAACCTGTGACCAGTTTGAGAAATTTTTCTACCCTCGCAGCCCAGCCTGGAGCCAGGTAAGACCATAAAGGATGGAGCTTGAAGACGTGGATATATAAAACCTAGAGTAAGAATGCATGTATACTATATAGGAAAAATTAAGGTGAAGGAAAAGAGATACACTTATATGTGAGTGATGATTATGTTAGCATGATAAGTGCGTACAAAAAAAGGCAAAGATAAGAAAACGAGCGAGTCAACATGGTCAGTTTGTTTCTCTTCTAATATTAGTAAGAAATGTCTCATGTATAATAATTTTATTTATCTTGCATCTACTATAACTCCATTCTAGTTAGTTATTATTCTGTGTATGCTAGCTTCCTTTCCCCTATTTGAAGAACAACATGCTGAACTTGGAAAAGAAAGCCTATTATACCACTGCAAGGAAAAGGGAAAAGAAGAGAAGTGAAAGTAATACAAACGAGGGGAATGGTGTTTCACCAATTTTAATTTAACGATAACCTCAGCACCTGAGCTGAGATTCTTGAGACAGGGAAGTAACGAGTGCCTGAAATTTATCATCCCACTGTATATTATTGTGACTGTATAATAAAATGAAAGATGGTGAACAGTGAAGAGAGAGAGAGAATGAAGGGGAAACAAAGGAAAGCTCAATCACTAATAAGGAATACATATTTGTGCTGAACTTTGTTGAGGAGGGTTTATAGAGAATATATTTTCTAAATGTTAATCAAAAATTTCAATGAATGTAAGATAATGCCTTTATGTATGGCGCATAATTAGACGAAGGAAAGAAGGTGCTGCAATAGCAAATGAAGAGCTCATTCTAAAAATCTGTATACAGTAAAGTGCTTCACAAAATACAGAGCAGCCTCACCTTCGTTATAGTAATTGGATGATTTTTGTCCACGAGCTGCTGACACGTTTCCCGATTAGAAATTATCTTTCGAAAAGCAAAAAGCCGCCGAAGATTTTCAGGTTTACCCCAGCCACGGACAAAAAATTTAGTTAGGAGAATGCTACGATAGATCTGGTCCACCCGGCTCACCATATTCAATACGCCCACTCACCATTTACCTGCAATTGGCAAACACAGGTACAAATAATGTTTTTAGAACAATTTAATAAACTGGACTACTAGTATTTTGCTATACTCCATCTTTAAATCTTAAATTATCCTATAGAAAAAAAGAGACACCCACAGAGTTATTATGGTAACCGGATGGTTATTAATGCAAGTTAACCTATACATACTGCCAAGTGTATAGCTCATTTCCATTGGAGTCCTAACCTAAGATGCACCCTACATCTAACTCCTAGATGCCTATTTGTTGCCATACAAATATGGTCAGCAGATGTAAGGAGGCATGCAACTATGCAATATCCTCAACAATAGTGTTTGTTACATGTAAACCAGCAAGAAACCTTTACATAACAATTTCATAAAATTCTACTCTGAAATACTTAATTTAGTATAAGAGCAATCACCAATCATTTTGATATACTGCCATATTATACTAATCGAATGTACTAAACTTGTAGCAGGTCATACAGTGCCAGGAGATGGGTAGATAATATGAATAATCTAAGGAAAAAGAAGGTAGTATTACATCTCTGGATGAAGAGCTCTTAACCAGTATCAAGGCACATCCTTGAAGGGGTGACATACCAGAAATACCATAGCAAATGGATGCATGTAATACTGGTGACTGAAGTGACCTCAACTCGTAAAAAATACAAGAGAATCAATATCCATTAGCTATAAGAGACCCCAATGGAAAGAGGCCTGTTTGCATTCTTTATTAAAACATGAATTATTAACACTGTCTACCTTAAGTATTCATAATGATTACATGTAAGATGCAAAAAAATATAAATTCTTTATATGAAAAATATGTGTAATGAAGATTGTAATCAAACCAAACATCAACATAAGATCAATAATAACTAGCTTTAATTAGGCTAAATTTACACATTATTAGAGACATTGTATAAATACCTACAATGTTTGCATTAAGCACATAATTATCATAGGCATATAGTAATTATAATTTATAAAGATTTAAAGTAGAATAACAGATCTACAAAGTATGTTTATTTCCACTGGCACACATTGTGGCTCAAGAAAAGAAAAACATTATTCAGATTAACCCTGGAGAGTTAATAACCCAGGATAACCCAAGAAAGTCAAGCAGTATGACTTATTTCCATTAGGGTCCTTTTCAGATTATTCCCCAGGATACAGCCTACTACAATCAACTAACTCCTATGGGTAATAGGCAACAGGTGTTAGATCTGCTCATACATTCCACCTCACCCATGGCTCAAGCTGGTGCTTTCAGTTGAGGGTCAAATGTACTACCAATGCTGTTTCAAATCACTAAAATGCTAACATTAGGGTCAAGCAACAGTGAAGCCAAGGAATCCGGGTTTGGTCTTCACACAAGTGGAAACACTGTGCACGTTTTCTTACATTTGCTGCCCTTGCTCACCTAGCAGTTAAAGGTAGCTACCTGGTGTTAGCATTCTTGTGGGTCACATTCTGGGGAAGAAGATGTAAGGCTTCCAATGAATTATAATTATATTTAGGAGGAAGCACTAAACCCACTGGGGTCATACAGAGCCTGGGGCATGGGAGCCAATCAGATTCAATCCAAGAAGGGAAGGGAAGATCCAAGTCCTTGGATCAAGAGCCCCTCACCAACTTTTAAGGAACCTCTTTCGAGAGGACCCCAATTTTAATAAGCTACACTATTTGGCTACCTTGGGTTAATAAGGTAAATAAAGTCTACTTGTATTATACACATACAATGGTGACAAATTATAAAAATTTAACAAAGGATAACCCAACAAAGTCAAATAAAATGAGTTACTTCAAAGAATAAATATTACAATGCTATGACTGGAACCATTCACAAGTAGCTAACCCACACTTTTGAGAGCAAATTCTAGACATTATGGTTCGTCCTGTACTTTATAATGGCATAGATTATTATATTTAGGAGAGGAGTGCTAAACCCATAGGAGCTATACAGAACCTGGGGAATGGGAGGCATTCAGGTTTGATCCAAGGAAGAGGAAAGCAGGTCCAATTCCTTAGAATAAGAGCCCTCACCAGTTTCAAGGAACCTTCCTTGAGGGAATAATGGTCCAGAACAGACCAAAACATCATCTAGAGTAAATGATTTAAGGATCCCAATGGAAATAAGTTAATTTTACTTTTTTGGGGCTTATTCTAAGTAATTTACACACATATTATCATGTAAGATAATTGCAATCATCCAAAGATTGTATAATTATACCCAAATAAACTTACACAAATAACCTGCACATAGAATAAAACTTATCTTGCTGCCAAGTTTGTCAAGGCTGGGATCCAAAGCAACTATAGAACTAGGGGAAGGGAACACAACTTTGTAGTACTCACAGTCAGTGGTCAGACTTCAAACACATTTTATTGTACAGCAATAAAGGAGTGGAAGAGACTGCCCGCACATGTCCAAGCCTGTCATAGCATGAGCCAGTTCAAGAGGAGAGAGAATGTAGCTACAGAAATGAAGGAAAGTGATTTCTTGTACAGCTAACATACATGTACCTATTACTGTGATCTGATCCTCTTATGTTAATGTAAATAACTTATTTTACCTTATTCCTAGTATATCCCTTTCATTGCAACTGCTTTTCACAAAGTTACTTACCTATTTAAACTTTTAATGCTTAAATAATGGAAATAAGTCACTTTGTCTCTGATTTATTTGGGTTATCCTAGGTAATCTACACACATGCTGATATGTATGATAATTTATGTAACTGTATTTGTGTACCTGTACCTGAATAAACTTGCTTACAGCACCTGGGCGATTGGTGGCATTAAGGCTTAATCCAAGGAAGAGGAAAGCAGGTTCAATTCCTTAGATAAAGAGCCCTAACCAGCTTCAAGAAACCTTCCTGAGAGGATAATGGTCCAGGACAGACCGAAACGTCGCTAAGGATGCCAATGAATTATTATTATTATAATCAAGGGGGAAGCTCTAAATCCGTAGGATTATACAGCACCCGGGGGGGGATGTGAAAGGCATTCAGGCTTAATTCGGGGAACTGGAGCACAGATCCAATTCCCTAAATCAAGAGCCCCTCACCACCATCAATCCCCCTTCCGTGAGGGGGATGCCAATGGAAATAAGTTACCTTTACCATTTTTTTGGGCTTATTCTAAGTAATTTACACATATATTATCATGTATGACAATTTAAAACATTCAAAGATTGTGTAATTATACCTAAATAAACTTAAACAAATAACCGCGCATATAGAATAAAACTTATGACGTTTCAGTCAGACCTGGACCATTAACTACTTAATGGTCCAGGTCAAAGTGAAACGTCATCATAAGTTTCATTCTCCTATGTGCGGGTTATTTGTACATTATTTCAGTCACAGAACTTTACGTAGTAATTTTTTATTACTGAACCAACTTACTTCCACTAGCAGTGCTGGATGCTGTTACTCTCCTCTTATTATTAATTCACACACTGACAGATATAATCACTCATCCAGTAGTTAGCAACATATCATTCACTTGCTGCACTCTAAATATAAACACATTATGATTCAATCAGCAGAATATATTACCAAAAAATAAAGGCCAGGGAGCGCTCGGTCCAAGTTGTTTACACAAGAGACTTTTGGTTTAAAATAATGTTTGTATTTGTTCTCAGAGCATAAAATAATGAATTGAAAATATATATGCATTCCATATAGGAGCTATATATAATTTATTAAAAATAGATTATAAAATATATTATATATATATGCAAAATATTATATAAAAAGAGATCGTGAAGATACTTATTTGACCCTGTATTCTCTCAGATGTTAAAGTCTTGGGTGGCAACGTTGACATAGTCACGTAGTCTGAATATAATTAAATAAATCTATTAATACCATTCACAACGAGTACTTCATAACCCCTACCTGAAGTCAAACCCAAATAAAATAATCATACTAGGTTTTATTACCTTAATTATTCTTGGTTATTTTTAGCATTTATTTTCAAGGGCAGCCTATTACCTACCAAGAGTGCCAACAAGTGCCACTACACCTCCTTATCACCTAGGTACATGTCTGCTGTAAGGTGGATGGTTTAAGTAAGGAAGCTTGCTCACTCTGCTCCACGCACCTGGGAATGAACCCGAGTCCTTCGGTTATAAGCCGAAAGAAACTACCACTGAGCTACAAATATACTTGGAGGGAGTTTCGGGAGTCAACGCCCGGTCAATGACCAGGCCTCGTGGTGGATCAGGGGCCCGATCAACCAGGCTGTTACTGCTGGGCCCCATGCAACCCATGTACGAACCACAACTCGGGTGGTTGGGGACTGAACTTTAGATGCACATCCAGCTCCTTGAAGATAGCCAAGAGTCTATTGGTAATCCCCTTATGTATGCCTGGGGGCAGTTGAACAGTCTTGGACCCCTGCACTTACTGTGTTGTCTCTCAGTGTAAATCGTGGGGCCCCTGCTTTTCATTGGGGGATGTTGCATCTCCTGCCGAGTCTTTTGCTTTCGTAGGAAGATTTTCATGTGCAATTTGGGACTAGTCCCTCCAGGATTTTCCAGGTGTATATTATCATGTAACTTTTTCTCCTGCATTCCAGGGAATACAAATCAAGGGACTTCAACCGTTCATTAAATTGAGTCTATCAACATGGATGGGAAAAAGTACCTACCCATGGTCATGCATTTACTGATTGTCATCACCGCCACGGTGGCCCGTGGCTTGGTAGGTAATGCTCTCGCTTCACACGCTGGTTATCTGTGGTTCGATCCCTGGCAAGAGTGGAAATACTGGGAGTGTTTCCTTACACCTGTTCTCCCGTTCATTTAGCAAGTAGATAGGTACCTGGGTGTTAGTCGACTGGTGCGGGTCGCATTCTGGGGGACAAGAAGAGGACCCAATGGAAAAAAGACAGACACTGCAAGGCTCCAGGCGGACATCAACCAAATCTTTCAGTGGGCTGCGGAAAACAATATGAAGTTCAACGATGAGAAATTTCAATTACTCAGATATGGTAAATGAGGAAATTTAAAATTTCTTCATCAGAGTACAAAACAAATTCTGGCCACAAAATAGAGCGAAACACCAACGTCAAAGACCGGGGGAGTGATTATGTCGGAGGATCTCACCATAAAGGGGACCATAACATTGTATCAATCGCATCTGCTAGAAAATGACAGGATGGATAATGAGAACCTTAAAAAACTAGGGAGGCCAAGCCCATGATGACACTTTCAGGTCACTTGTTCTATTAGGCTGGAATATTGCTGCACTCTAACAGCACCTTTCAAGGCAGGTGAAATTGCCGACCTAGAAAATGTACAGAAAACTTTCACGGCGCGCATAACGGAGATAAAACACCTCAATTACTGGGAGCGCTTGAGGTTTCTAACCTGTATTCCCTGGAACGCAGGGGGGGAGAGATACATGATTATATACACCTGGAAAATCCTAGAGGGACTAGTTACCGAACTTGCACACGAAAATCACTCACTACGAAAGCAAAAGACTTGGCAGACGATGCACCATCCCCCCAATGAAAAGCAAGGGTGTCACTAGCACGTTAAGAGACCATACAATAAGTGTCAGGGGCCCGAGATTTCAACTGCCTCCCAGCCACATAAGGGGGATTACCAACAGACCCCCGGCAGTCTTCAAGTGGCACTGGACAAGCACTAAAGTCAGTTCCTGATCAGCCGGGCTGTGGCTCGTACGTTGGTTTGCGTGCAGCCAGCAGCAACAGCCTGGTTGATCAGGGGCTGATCCACCAGGAGGCCCGGTCACAGACCGGGCCGCGGGGGGGTTGACCCCTGAAACTCTCTCCCGGTAAACTCCAGGTAATGACGCACTTTCTTGAGTTACCATGGGTGGCTAACCATCCGGGGATAAAAATTCAAACAAAATTTTAGCTCTTATCTCTCACCACCATCATCATTACTACCAACAACATCGTCCATCATCACCAACATCATCATTACTGGTAACATCCAGCCCACCATACCCCTCCACTTCGTATCCGCAGTAGTTGTAGCCACTACCTGCCAGGCCAGGTCTCCTGAGTGGGATGGGACGGGCATGGAAATCCTAATGGAAGGAAATGTGAGAGAGGTTGGCGGCGGGCGTGGCAGATCTGGTGAAACACACAGAATTGTAAAGGATGGGAGCATGGTGGTGGGTCACAACAACGTGGGGAGATGTTGGGGAAAGTATGTGTGAGTCGATAAAAGGTGATAAAGGATGAGCTCTGTTCCTGGCATCTCTGCTCAGTGGGGGTTTTTACCCATGAAGTAGAGAGTCCTGGCCCGGAGTAAGAAAGTTCTTGTGGCTTCAAGTCTTGTTCCTCGAATTATAGTTCCCTAATTTCTTCAGTCTCCAGCTCATGGGGCCTCCAGTCATAACTTAAGATTTTCTTATATATTTTCATAACATAGAACACTTAAAGGTATTTTATTTTTTTAAGGATAAACATTAGAGGAGATGGAAAGGAGGGGGGAAAAAGATATGAACAGAAAGAATGGGCCTGGTGGCCTGGTGGTTAACGCTCTCGCTTCACACGGGGGGCCTGGGTTCGATTCCCAGCCAGAGTAGAAACATTGGAAGTGTTTCTTTTTAACCTTTGTCTATGTTCCCATCAGTAAAATCGGTACCTGGTGTTAGTCGACTGGTGTGGGTGCATCCTGGGACACTGACTAAGGAGGCCTGGTCACAGCCCGGGGCGCGGGGGCGTTGACCCCCGGAACTCTCACCAGGTAATAGTAAAGGAAGGAAGAGTGGATGGAAAAGGAGTAGGATGTGGAGTAGAGAGAGTGGGAAAGAGAATGAAAAGGGGGAGGAAAAGAGAGTAGAAAACGAGTAGGTAACAGAATGAGACGAAAATAAAGGGGGGCAGAGTAGAAGTGAGGGGACTAAGGAGAAGAGGTAGAAGTAGGAGAGGTGATAAGAGAGAGAGAGAGATAGGGAGGGTCACACTCGGCAACTCACGACATAATTATAACCACCAATAATCTATAGAGGATACACCTACGTAGCCCCCGAGAATAACATCATCTTAGTGAGGCAGAGACGAGGAAGAAGTAGAAAGAAGAGGGATAAAAAGAGGAGTTTTTAGACACACAACACACACCACACCACACCATTTATAAGAAAGGAGGAACGATGAAGAGAAGGCTGGGGAAAAGGGAAATACAGTAGGGAAAAGGAAGATGATGAAGGGGAAAGGGGAGGGAGAGAAAGTAAAACGGGGAATAGGAAAGAAGAAAATAAAGATAGTTAGAGAGAGAGAAAGTTGGAATCAGAAATGATTGGGGTAATAAAGCGGTAAAAAGGAAGAGAGAAATAGGGATGATATCAAGAAAGGAGATAAAGGCTATCAAATAAAAATTATATATTTTTATTATTTACTTCAGAGGCATCTATAATTTATTCAAAAGCCATATTTATCCTTCACGGGGATATAAATTTTAAACATTTATCATTATTTTCCCTCTAAGACATAATTATATATATATTTTATTATATAATATATATATATATATATATATATATATATATATATTTTATATATATAATATATTTTATATATATATATTTTATATGTGTGTGTTGTTTTGTGTTTGTGTGTGTGTGTGTGTGGTGGGTGTGTGTGTGTGTGTGTGTGTGTGTTTTTGTGTGTGGTGTAAAAGTGGTCAGTTAGCAAGAACTCATTTAAAATTAAGTCCTTTCTAAAATTTACTTTATACGTTTAAAGATATTTTTTTTTCATTAATGTTAATGTAAAAATTTATAATTTTGCACCAAAAGGAACTTAAAAAACTTACCTAACCTTTCTTTAACAAGCGCAATTTTATTTACCCTAACCCAACTAAATATATTTTAGATTGTTAAAATAATTTAATACTAATCAAACCAGTGAAATTTTTTTTTTCGTTGGGCAGAATGATTTTGGGAATTATTGGCAAAAATTTTTTCCTTTTGTCCTATAGGTAAACAGCTTTGCTTTTAACCCGATCGCAAGTTCTCCCTATTGGGCACGCACACACATAACACACACACAAATATATAAAAAATTTTTTTTATAATATTTTTTAAATATATATATATATATATATTGGGGAAAGCCACGGAGGGGGGGGAAATCTTTAACCTAACTCAGGTATTTTTCACACTTCTGGTGCGTATCAGGAGCTGTGAAATGTTAAAGGGAGACCCAAAGCAGGGGGGGGTCTAGAGAGCGTAGGGGTCACCGTCCAGGGTTACCTAGACTGGGTTAGGGGGTCTTCCAACCCCACCCTCCCACATCCCCTCCCCATATGGGGAGGGGGGTTTTCGAGTGTCAAGTAGGAAATTATAATATATAAAAACCCAGCCCTAATTTTTTTCAATTTTTTAAACAGGTCTTTTGGGGTTTGAGAAAATTTTCTCGTGACTGTAGACAGGATTGTTTTTTATTCGTGTGCCCTTTTTAAAATAATGAAAAAAAGGGAAATACAATGTGCTCTTTGCCCTTTTAAAATGTCTGCTCTGGGTATTGAATTTCTACCATGTACTCAGAAGTACTCTTCCAAAATATT